TTGTTATTATATAATGATGTAGTACATTTGTTATTTTTATTTGTTAGTATCACATCATAATATAGTGTAGATATATGATTATAAGGTCTTCTATTGTTGCTTCGTATTTGTATTGTTTATGAGTTAATGGTCATATTTTGATTCTGCTGATTGTTCCATTGGCAAAGTCTTTTTGTTATACAATTCTAAATTTGAATTTTTCATTTTTAATTAGTTGGTATGCTATTTCAGACTTTTGGAGTCGCAGTAATGTTGGTGCGGTTCCTAAGTTTTGTAATATTTGAGGTCTTTGCGGTGATTGGAAGATTATGGTGAATCTTCTTTGATAGTACTTTTTCAATTTAGTACTGAGTTTTTTCTGGGTATCTTTAAGTTGGTATATTTGTTTTTTAATATTTCAGATAGTTTTCTTTGCTTGGTATACTTCAATTGGTTGAATGTTTTTGAATGATTTATTTATGAAGTCAGTTGCTTCATCTACAATGAAATTTGGTAATTCTAATTTTTTGAATTGTTCTTTATTTTCAGAATTGACTTCTTCTTCTTCTTTGTATTTAAAGTCTAATATCTTTTGGTAATTTTTTATTGAATAAAATATTAAGTTGAGTTGTAGTTGTAATTTGGGTGTTATTATAATATGGTCTAATATTTCTGCTTTGGTATAGTATTTCCAAGTTCCATGGTTATTCGGTTTCATTTGTAGTAGTTCTTGGTTATTCGCAGGGTGAATATATATTTTTATTTTAGTTGCGTTTGTAGTGTTGTATCCGTTAGTATTTTTTGGTAGATAGTAACTGTGTCCTATTTCTATAAGTTTTTTTTGATATATAAGTATTCTGGTTTCTTCTAAGGTTTTTCTTTCAGCTATTTGTTCAAATGTTTTGTAAAGGTATTCTTGTTTTTTTCCTGGTATTCTGTACCAGGAATAGTATATTTTGTTAGGATTTATCTATTGTGCTAGTAATATAGTTGGTAATCCTTCGTTATTGTATTTAAATATAGCTACTTTGTGCTAGTTTAATTGTTGTATTGGTATAGATTTTGGAGGGAGTTGTTCTATTTTGAATTTTTGTATATTGGTCTATAAGATCGAATATATGTTGTCTATGATTTTCTTCTGAATTATAATCAGTAATACTGTGAGCTATTAATTGGTTACAATATCCTTGATATTCGTGATTGTTTATTATTATCTAGTTGTATACTTCATTTGGTCCTGATAGCTTTTGTTTTGCTAATTTTTCTAGTATTATATTATAGAATATATATTCTAATTCTTTTAAAAATATTTCTTCTAATTATTGTAATTTTCTTTTTGTTTGTTCGTTTTCTGAGTATTAACTAGGTTTTGTATTTATTTTTATTAATTTTTCTTGGAGGGTTATTATTTTTTAGTAATAAAGTGAACTTTTTTAGATTCTTCCAAGTTTTCAATTGTTAAGTAATTATTGGTTTGTTTATAAAATAATTCTGCGTGTCTACTTCTTGTACTTTGATACAATTGTATTATTTGTTGTAATAGGTCTTGTAAATGTTTTTCTTTGTAAAATGTTTCAACGTAGTTGTCATATTCTAAGAATATTGTTCATAGTATTCGTTTTTTTGCTACGATATAGTAGTATTCATTGTATATTGCCTTTGGTGTAAATATTAATTGTGTTCTGGTTGAGTATTCTTCTAATAATATAGATATTTCAGTTGTTTGTAATGAATATAGTTCTGAATAATAATGTAGTTCTTCTTTTTAGTACTTTTCTGAAGTTTTTGTCTTTTTTTTTTATATTCAAAATTCATTTGATGAGAAATCTATTCTATATACTGGGTATGTTATTTTTCTAGTTCTTTGGTATTTATTTAATCATGCTTTAATATAGTTAGCTTTTCTTCTTGATTCGTTAGCTAGGTAATTATTACTATCGTTAGCTATATATCTGTTATCAAATAGGTACTGTTGCGGTCCTTTTTTGATTAATTCTAGTTTTCGTATTTCTTTTATGAATAGTAGTAGATTGATATATTTTTTGATTTCAAATGTGTTTCGAAATATTAATCCTTCTGTTTCTTCTAAAAGTAGTATTTCTAATATTTGTATTGTTGAGATTACTTGTTATATCCTTGTATATGCTTTTCATATTTCTGATACTGTTTGTTTAGAAGGTAGGTCTTTTACTCAGTTGTATTGATAATTTCCTTGTCTTCCTTCCTTATATATAAAGTCTCAGTCTGGTGATTTTCCATAAATAGTTACTTGTTTTTTTTCTATTTCAATTATTTCTTCTAGAAATGTATATTGGTTTGTTTCCTGATTTTGTAGAGGTATAATAGAGATTTGATTGTTTGAGGTCATTTAAATCGTATTGGGTTGATATTTCTCTTATTTTTGGTTCTTTTCTTTTTATATGATTTCTATATTCTTCGTACAAGTCTTCATGTTCTATGTTTCTAAAGAATATTTCTTGGTATATATATTTTTCTTCTGGTGTTAGGTGTTCTATTTGGTCAGTATAATCTTCATCAGTACTTCTATAATATCTAGGATTATTTATTATTGTGTGTTCTATTCTTTTAGCAGTTTCTATTTCTTTGCATATTGTGTGTGCTCTGTTTAATAGATGAGCTTGTTGTAACCTTTGTTCAGTTGTTATTATTGATTTGTGTAATTCGTATGTACTTGGTGTTACTCCTTGTGTTTGTAAGAGTAGTTGTACTGATACAAATGTAGTTTGTAGTATTCTAAGTATTCTGAATGGTATTTTAGATTCTTTTTCTAATCGTTCTAGGTTATATAAAAATTTTCTATGTATGTATATATGTCTGTTAGATTGAATAAGATTTTTTCTTTTTGATTATAGTTGCACTTCCAATAAGTTGTTTGGCTAAAAGTTATTAGTGCTGCTGTTTGTACAGAAGCATCTAATAGTTTTAGTGTTGCTTCTAGTTTTAAATCGTTAGTTGGGTTGGTTCTTGCTAATAAGTCTTGTATTGTTCTTTGAATATCTTTTCATATACTGTGCAGTAGTCTTTGTTTTAATATTTCTTTTCCAGTATCTCGAGTTCTTGGGTCAAATTTGTCTTTTGGATATGGTATTCTATTTTTATATAATATCCAATATTCAAATTTTAAGGGGTGAAATTTAGTTCAGAGTTGTTCTAATAATTTGTCGATCGGGTTTTCTATTTCAAATGTTGTTTGATCATCTATATCTTGTCTTGTTAATATTGACATTAAGTTTTTAATATAGTATTAGTTAATAACCAAATATCTGTTTGTTTAATTAGTTCTTCAATATGTAATATGACTAGTGATTAGTCTGTTGGCCAATAGTCTATATCAGTTCTTTGTTGTTCAGTTAAGTTTGGATTATTTGCAGGTAATCTATTAAATATGGCTCCTATTTTTTTTTTTATTGTTTCTGGTATATCTTCTTCATAAAATCATGTTGTAAGTGTAAGTATATTATTACTTATTTGTGCTTTGTAAAATTCTTTATCGTCTTGTCTATTAAATATTTGTCTGGTTATTAGTGCTGATTTTAGTAATATACAGACTGTTTTGATTTCTTAAATTCTAGTTCTAAGGTTGATCATATGTTAATAGTTCAGTAAGTGTTATTGTAATTAATTTTTCTTCAAGGTTAATATAGTCTCAGTATGTTGTGAAGATATATAGTTTTGGTAAAAGTTGTTTTTATATATATTTTTTGCTTATTTCACAAGTTATTTCTTTCAAGAAAGCTTGGGTTTCTTGTATTAATTCTATCAAAATTGTTGGGTTTGCAGAGATATTTCTTGCGGGTAGTCCTTCTAAGTTTAGAATAGTTTCTACTTTTTGGGCTTGTCTATTAAATATATATGTTATTGTCCAGAGAATCGTTGTTCTATTTTTTCTTATACTTTGTTTGCTATAAGAGTTATATATTGTTTTGTTTCTAATTTCATATGAGTATAGTATTTATTTCTTGTATAATTCATTTAATATAGCTTTGGGTTCAGTTTTTAACAGTATCTTGGTCAGTAAAGTTTCTTAATAAAGCAGTTATTGTTGTTATCACGGATTGTTGATTCTTGTATATTTTATCAGTTAATTCTACTAGTCGGTTTTTTTGTTTAGTTGTTATGTTTAATATACAATTTCTTTTTAATGGGATTTCTTGTAAAACTTCTTTTACTTTTTCTAGGTATTCAAATATTTGGTATTCTTTTTTTAATTGGTCGTTAGTTATTTGTACAGTTACTAAATGAGTTAAATTTTCATTATCAAATTTGTTGCCAGTAAGGTAGTTGAATAGTATATTTTCTAGATATGTACAAGTACATTCTTTTGCATTGAGTTTCCAATAAATGTGCTGTAATTCTTGTCTATTAAGTGTAATAATATTTTCTTTGAATTGGGTTCTTTCTTCAGGTAATTTGGATGATAATAATTTTTGTGTTGTTATTATATTTTATATTATAACAATATGTGCATTTGTCTTTACAATAATATGAGTCTACTTTTCTAGTGTCATCAATAAAAATTCTTTTCTAGTGATTTCTTTATATACTCTGAATAATGAATTTTCGTATTGTCGTATTGCTTCTTTTAATATTGCAGAATCTTGTGCTTGGTAATATCTGCTTTGTACGTAGTTTGCTATATTATTCCAATAGTTTAAAGATTCGTATTGGTATATAGTATATATAGTTATTTCTTCTTTGTATTCTACTTCTAGTTGAGCAATAGCTTTTTCAATATTTTCTTCACAAATTGTTTTGAGTAGGTAGTCTAACTTTAGTTCTATTACTTTTTGCATTATTTGTAAAGGTCGATTGTGTTTTAATTGCTGTGCAATAGTGTTATGATTATAGTCTTGTTCTATTATTGATTTGTATTTGTCGTTTAGTTCTCTTAATTCTTTTTTAAGTTCTTCAAGTTTTTGTTCTTTGTTCATTTATGTTCTTGTAAATTCACTTGTCTTTTTAATAGAGTTTTGTAAAAATTCTCTTTGTTTTTT